TCATTTTTATCTCTCTCTCTCTCTCTCTCTCTCTCTCTCTCTCTCTCTCTGTGTGTGTGTGTGTGTAAGAGATAGATAGATAGATAGATAGATAGATAGATAGATAGAGAGAGAGATAGAGAGATAGAGAGATAGAGAGATAGAGAGATAGAGAGATAGAGAGATTTTGGGCAGGAGAAACAAGGAATGGAATCAACGAATGAGAGAAGTCAAGCTGCATTGTTTTAAGCAATTATTACACAATGTTTTATTGTAGAAATCTACAAACACACAATGAACTGGTTTCACTACAATCCTTTTACATGTGGGGAATGCTGGCTTTTGTTTCTCTTCTTCTTCTAATGTTAATTGGCTGACACAGCCTCATAAGATTCACCACCAATGTGATAAGGTAGAAGAAACATCATACAACTGGAACAAAGTCAAGTGACTTAAGCGCCCGAGAAAGCACGGGGTTCCCAAGCCCATGTATCAAAACCATAGCTCATAAGGCAGTGGTGGACCCATCTTCTTCTTCATGGCTTTCTTTGAACAGACCAGTTCCAGTAGTTTAACACAAAAGAAACAGATCAAAAGTCAAGAGCAGATCTAATGGATTAATATTGCACAACAGATATGACGATCTGCTTGGTCTGGTAGATCTTTCCCAGGTTCTCCTTAACAGAGAATAAGAGCATCAACTCTCTTAGTGAGAAACAATGATCCATAAAGAAGAGCAATTCATTAGAAGCAATCCAAAATCCATGGATTCCCTTCAAAAGCTTCTCTGGTAACCCCAGAAGCATTATTACACAGTTGCTTGTGAAGCTAAAGAAGCAGGTGTTGAAAGTCTACGTAGGCATGATAGACCTTCTGAAAGTCTACCATTGGCCTTCTGTGGTGACTCAGGAACAGGGTATTTTTAATACAACAATCATCATTTATTTGAAGGCTAACATTGCATTCAGCTCTGAACGGATCAAGTAACCATGGCACCGAATTTGATGATACGATCAAATTTGGCACGTAAACATACATTCGTGGGAAGTCACTCCTACCCAAGGATAGGAGACCCAATGCCATGATGAAAATAGTAATATACAATAATAATCTATACCTATCTCCAATCCAACCTGTTTGACAGGTGGAATGTGAAGCAAATCTTCTTTGAACATCAAAAAAAAGTTCTGATAAATGTCCATTGTATGCAATGGTGTGTACATTTTACACTTCTTAGTAGGCTCAAGAAATGGAAGAAATATTGCATTCCTTACTCTGCTGGCTAGTGGAGAAAGTTGGATTGCCCCGTTTGTCATACATGGTCGTCAAGCTCCTAATTATAGAACCTAACATTGTTTAACCAAATAACTTTGACTCCAAAGGTTTGTTTGTTTGTTTTAACATTTATCCTCCAGTTTTGTTTTTTTACAACATCTTCATGAGCCACATAGATGACAGGAAAATGAAGAGTGGCACTTTAGAAAGGATGTTCTCTCAGTTCCAGAGATTTTGGCACTCTGGTTGAAGTCCTCCACCAAAATCCTCCACAATTTTTCCCCTCCCCGACCCTCCGTCACAACATTCACATGGTCATAACTTGGAATGAGGCCATCTGAATAACGGATGAATGTCCCTGCTAAGTCCCTTGAATGTCTCTTTGCTGGCCTTTGCTTCTTGTAGAGCTTCTTCCATGCATTTTCTCTGCTTTCTTGGTAGCAGCCCATCCTGAGATGCTGACGTTGCTATTTCAGTTCCTCAAAGAACACCACTTCTGCATGCAAAAGCTAAAGCCGTTGAAGAGTTCAGGAGCCGTGTCACCCACAACAAAAGAAAACAACTCCCTATAATAATAAAAAGAGAGAGAATGGTGATTAGGAGACAGGATAATAAAATGGGAAGAAAAGTGCTAAAAAAAAAGTGATTTGGAGAATTATGGTAGTGGGTTTCCTCATGGTTGGGGGTCTATCCAAGCCGACATGGCCAATGGGAAGAGGTTGGGGAATTCCCAACCCAAATCTGGAATTAGGGGTACAATGTTTCCTATCATTTCCATATGATGCAGGAAAAACTCTGGAGAGTGATAGGACCTATTTGAAGTAGGACCTATCTGAAACAGGATATTCTTGATTCTTGCCTCTTTAGGGAAGCCCCAAAGAAATATTTCCAGCACCTCTTTCCCAAAGTGTGCTCTGAAATTGGGAATTTAAACTTCTCCTTCCCAGTTTAGAAGGAGGTCTATCTATATAAATTAACAGGAAAATTCAAAACTTCTATCTGGAGGTTATTCCGAAGGTGCTCTTTTCAAGAGGCAATGGGACTTTCTGGTTTTTCTTTGAAGATGTTTCACTTCTCCTACCAAGAAGCTTCTTCAGTTCTGACTGACTGGGTGGTTGGGAATGGAAGGATTTATACTCTTTGCAGACAGCTGGTCATTTGCATCCTTTTAGAGGGTCATTGAGGCCACCTGGAAGTTTAAAGACCCATTGAGACCACTTGGAGGTTTATCTGTGTCCTCTGGGGCCACCCAAGTGGCGCAAATGGGTATGGAGCCTTCTTGGAACTGCTAAAAGGTCTATATTGTAGATTGGAGATAGATGAGGCCGTATCCCTCCCTCTCTGTTGAGAGAGGGCTGTTCAATTTGGACCACAGATGGCCTCTCTGAGACCTTGTTCAAACCTGGTGACCCTGAGGACGCAGATAAACCTCTAAGTGGCCTCAACATTTCTCTAAAAAGAAGGCAAATGACCAGCTATCTGCAAGGAACATCATTCCTTCCATTCCCCACCATCCAGTCAGAGCTGAAAAAGCTTCTTGGAGGAGATGCAAAATGTCTTCAAAGGAAAAAAACAAAAACCAGGAAGTCCAGTTGCCTCTTGAAAAAAAACAACCTTGATAACCATGACCTGGAGGACTGAGAACCTCCATAGACATATCTGGAGGTTAGCTGAGAGCAGGCAAAGGAATTTATCCATCTGGCCAAGAACTCATATTACCTTCTCCTTCTTCAGGCGCTCGTCCTCCAAGAGCAGCAGTAGTTTGGGGAAGATGACCTCCATTCAACTCTGTTGCTTGCTGGGCTTTTGTAGAACAGTTTCTCCATCTCTGCTCCACATGCGATTCAGGAAGTGCTGAACTCCTAGCCAGTTTCGAATGAGTCACTGTAACAGAAGCAGACGCATGAAGTGTGAGCTAAAGTTGCTTCAGCAAATCATCCTTTATACTAGATATTCATTTCTTTCCCCCCCGGTAAGCTCTGATTGGATTGTTTTCATCTACACAAAAGTCCCTCGGCCAGTTTGCTCTCAGAGATAAAGAAATGTTTATGCACAGCAGTTGGGAAAGGGATTTCTTTCCATTCAAGCCAATTGCGATTCCTCTTCTTTTTCAGAGGAGCAAAATATAATTTTGACTGTTCCTTCCATTCGGAAAAAGACTTTGGGCTGCTGGCAGGAACAAGGCGAGGAGAAAATTCATGTCAGAAATCAAATCCCTAAATTTTTGTTGACACCTGAAAAGCCCAACCTGACAGGTGTTCTGGTGCTCATGCTAGGTCCCAACCACATTGTGCCTTAACATGAGGACCTGCTAAACCACCAAGACCCCAAAACCATATTTACTTCATGTGCGGTGTGAAACCAGCCTAAACTAGCCCAAGTTGTCATCATCTACAACTACATCGTTAAACTTGGTAAAGACAAAAAGTCAAGAGGTTGTTACTTACCTCTAGCTTATGGGAAGGAGTCACACCTCCCCACGGTTCCCAGCAAGACTTTTCACAGCTGCTCTTGAATCTCGTCGTTTGCATGTCAATGTTGGCCAGAAAGAGCCAACTGCCCATGATATGAACTTTGGTTTCACTTCTCTTTCCTTTCTTCAACAGCATCAGACTCTCAACATTGCTGATCTTCTTCCTACTTTGGTTCTTATTTGATCATCAAGTGAGGCTCAGCTAAAAAGCTTCCGTTCAAGGGTCTTTACACCTTGGGTAAGGTAATCCCCATCACTGAAAATGCAGTCCTTTTTTTTTTTTCAACTAGCAAAAGCTAGTACAACTTTAGTAGACATTCTTGTAGAGGGGTTAAGTTGTAAATTCAGCTGTGTCCGTGCCACATTTTTTTCCCTTCTTGTAGTCTATGCCCCCCTCCAACCACTTCTTTCTTTTTCTGAACCCCCTTAGATCTTTCTTAAGAATCTCTCTCTTCACTAGAACTCTGCTTATCGCCCTCATGAACGAAACAAGAAATTAGAGGGCATGAATCCATCTATCTCAACAGCTTGGATTTAGAGAAGGAAAGGTGGAAAGTGTGTCTACTAATGGCTTTTCTGGAGCTGAAGGACCTTAAAAAAAATCAGGTCAGAGAGAATCCAGAGACCCACCTGAGGATCGAAACTGAGGCCAAAACAACAGAGCTTCAAGTGTTGGCTGGAATTTTCAGTTGAAGTTCTGCCAGGACAACCTGAAACTTGCTTTCCAACGTGTTTCGGAGCTCAGTCTAAAAGATGTCGAAGAAGTTATAAAAAATAGAAACTTCCTAGAAAGCAAGTAAATCCATTGGCTAATGCAGAGATAAACAGAAGTCATCTCTCAACAGCTACCTGGAAGGATGAGGGGATGTCTGGAAGGAAAAGCATGTTGACGCATGGAACTAATGCTAGAAGGACCTTCTGTGAGAGTGTCTGTTTAAATCCCTAGGGAGTCAACCCCCACAAGGTGATACAGTTGTCTCTGCCCCCAAAAGAAGGATTTCCTACCTTGGTAACATAGTTCAATCTTTGCTTTTAGAAAGCCATCCTCAAACTCAGCTACCAACCTTCCAGCTTGAAGCACACCAGATGATTCAAGCTTGCTATGTTCTCCACATGGGATCCCAGAAGAAAAAGCCAATCATCTCCAACCAGCTACTGAGCTGAGATCTCAGAATCATCAGGGTAGCCCAAGGCACCCACTGAATGGAAACCAACCTGCTGAAGATGAAGCTGATAGTTCCCACCTGTGTTTCTTGCGCCTTGATTTCTGGGCTCAGATCACTGTGACTGGTGGAGCGGAGACATCTGGATGAGTCTCATCACTAGCAACAGGGCTGGCAGTAGAAGAAGGCGGCAAACTTTCCAACGATCCTCTTAACTGGTGTTTGGGGGACCTCTGGGGACTGGGCTCCTCAGAATGATCTAGGTTGCCCTCAACTTCCTTGCCCCGTTGGATCAGCTGCTCTAAAGTTTTGGGGTAGGGGTGGCTAAGGAAACGCTTGAGTTTGGGCTGGAGGGTCCCTACGACATACTCAATGACCTCCTCCTCCTCAGCATCTATGTAGAGGGTCTGGTACAAGTCCCTTTTGCGCCAGAGGAACTGGTCAAGGGGCTCCCCATCTTTCTGGGGGAGATCCAGTTCCTGTTTGATGGCATCCCTGGTCAGAGTACCCTCGCTGTATTGGAGGAACTCTTTCTTAAACTCCAGCCAGTTCTTGACCGAGTCCTGCTTGTACTCCCACCACTTTTTGGCAGGGCCATTCATATGGTTCTGGATCTGCGAGAGCCAATAATCTTCCGTCCCGCCCACCTGCTTCAGATAGTCCTCCAGATGAGTCAGGAATTCCTTGGGATCCTCAAAAATCTGGACTGGGGAAGGTGGGGTATCTTCTGAAACAGTGATCCACTGGTAGGAGTCGTGGGACTGAGGCACATTAGGGTCTTCCCCCATTGGAGGAGGGGTCAGGGCATACATCTGACTCATGTCTAAGGCATAATCGTAAATCTCCTCTTTCCTGGGTTGGATTTCCGGGGCCCCTACTCCTACCGAGACAGTTTGTCTGCTTTGGTCACTAGGGTAGTATTTCCCCCCACCAGATTCCAACCGGTCAGCCCATTTCTCCAAGCGGAAAAATACTTCCTTCCAGACATTAATCTCCCTCTTGACCCACCTCTCCAGGTGACCTATGGTCTCCTGGCATCTAGCCAGGCAAGCCTTGATGGATTTTTTCCACCTCTGGTTCTCCGCAGCTGAAGGAACGTGGTCTTCCAGATTGTTCTCCAGTTTCCCTACCGATTTCTGGAGGCTTTTCAGCTCTCGCTCCACCTGTTTGGACACCTCAGTCAGGAGGTGCCGGTGGGTTCTCCTCACGTGGTCTAACATCTCAGCCCTGCACTTCCCTATCTGAAGGATGACGTTGGGCTTGTGGTTGGCCATCCCGCGATGACCCTGACAAGAATGGAGGCTCCCATGGTTGAAGTTGTCCACCTGCATCATCTCTGCTAAAGCCGCAGTACGCTTCCACCCCAACAATTCTTTTTCCAAACCACTCTGCCCGGAAAGCTGACTTGCCTTCTTCTAAAGCACAAGATACAACTGAATTCAGAGGTCACCCCAGAAAAAGCGTGGTGGTCCAACTCCACTTGGCGTTGAAGCAAAAGTCCACAAAGCAGACCAGGAAAATTCTTCCCAGCCTTGACTTCTTCTTCCTCCTCCTTGCCTAGAAGGCTTTAATTCCTAAGCAGATCCGTCAGGTCTCTCTTGACAGGTGGAAGGCCACTTCTCCGTTGCTGGTGCAGCTTCTCCCTGGATTCCAGACCGTCCTGAGAACTCTGAGCTAAGGAGAGTTTGGTTCTCTTTCCTCCGGGAGTTGGAAAAAAACAGAGAGTGCCTCTTCGGTTGCTCTGTCTCTGCTCTGCCGCTCTCTCCGACGGAGACCCATACTTATACGGCACACAGCTCCGTACGTGGGTGTAGCCAGGCCTCTTTGCTCATCGGCAACGTGCCTCTGATTGGAGGAGAAAGAGATTCAGGGGAAAACACAGCTTCTGGCAAATTTCTCGGCTTCCCCCTCCTGTTCAGCTTTGCCACCCCCTCGTGCACACCTCCAGACTTGGGGCGAGAAGCGCTCGAAAGGTTTTGAGAGACAGTTGGAGAGCTGGATGAGTAATCCCCTTTACCTTTCCTCTCTCTCTCTTTTATCCCTCCCCGCCCCCTCTCTCTCTCTCCCTGGCATCCTCCTTCTCTCTCTCTCTCTCTCCCCCTCCCACAGCCCCAGCTCAAGGGCAGAGAAAGGGCTTATTCATCCCCTAATCAGCTAGGTCCTTATGAAATCCCTCTCTTGACAAAGCGGGGAGATTAAGCCGAGGAGTGTCACTGCCCCACTGGACACAGTTTAAGGATGGATTCCCCTACACCATGAATTGCAAAACCCTTCCCCTTGGGCGACACTCCCAGATCTGAACAGAGAGATCAGAATAAGCTTCTCCAAATAAGAGGTGGATGTTTGAGTCCCAGCATCTTCTCTACGGGACGATGAGGAACAGGTGTCCCAGGGAGGAGGGACGGAGGCCTATGGGCTCAAAAAGGAACCCATCCTTCCCACAGATGAGGGGGGGGGACTTCCTGAACCACGGGGAGGGTCAGAAGGGGTCACCCCCCCTTCTCACCCGGGGTCCCCAACTCATCAACCCCGCCCATCGCCACGGTTTCCCAGCGCTAAGCCCTTGAATGGGTTGCTTTGTCGCGGCACGTCCCGCCCACCCGACATCGTCGCAGCTGAAGCTCACTCACAACTTGTTCCTGGAGCTTGTTATGGGAATCAGGAAGCGGTCCATAAAAGGAAACCGGGGAAGGGTTTTTATGTAACCAAGGCAGATGAAGAGATTTCCCTTTTCTACAAAGGCAGCGAAAGAGGTTCCCCTCCGGAACCCCCAACTTGTCATCCCTGATGGAGACCCGGCATGACAAGACATTGGTGACACACCGTTGTTTCTCTGCCTCTCAGGGAGGCAGAGGTTGGAGGTTTATGTAACGGGGGGGATTAAATGCCAAGACACCCCCGTTAACCGAAGGTGTGATTGGCAGGGTTTGGTCAGGGCTGAAGTCCCCCAATTTAAATTAGCGTTGGGAGCCGAGCTATGGCATCTGGCCTCTCGGGTGCTTCTCTTGAGGTTGTGCCTCCTGTTTTCTGCTTGGGGAGGGGGGAAAATATAAAACAATATAGGTTATAGAGCATGCAAGAAGGGAAGACAATGATTGAACTGCTCGAAGCTGCCTGTTGAAATACATTAGGAGTAGCGAGATGTTATGACAATGCCTATTTTTAACATGGCTGTTCTGGGGATTGTCTCTTCAAGGAAGCATTATAAAACAGCTTGTATATGTGTGTGTGTGTGTATGTGTGTGTGTATATGTATGTATGTGTGTGTATGTGCATGTGTATATGTATGTATGTGTGTGTGTACATATGTATATGTGTATAAAATATGTGTGTATGTGTATACACATACACACACATGTGCAGCAGGGTCTCGAAGGGGGAGTGAGCATGTAATGCAAATAGTTAAATGTAGTGCTCTCTCTGTCTAGGAGTTTTCTTGCAGACATTTCATTATCCAGCTAGGTAACATCATCAATGCTAGAGGTGAGGGAGGAGGAGTGGGGGGCATTGCAATGATACTTCGTACTTTTTGAGCTTGGTTGTATTTTTGCAGATGTTTCATTACCCAGCTAGGTAACATCATCAGTGCTAGAAAGGAGTGAGGTTTGTGGAGAGGAGGAAGAAGAGGAGGAGGAGGAGGAGGAGGAGGAGGAGGAGGAGGAGGAGGAGGAGGGCGGCTGTGGAGTCCTTGATGCTTTCTGAGCTTGGTTGTTTATTTGCTGACATTTCTTTACCCAACTAGATAACATTATCAGTACTAGATGGGAGTGAGGTTTATGGAGAGGAGGAGGAGGAGGAGAAAGAGGGGGAGGGGAGAAAGGGGATTGTGGAATCCTTAGTGCTCTCTGAGTTTGGTTGCATTTTTGCAGATGTTTCATTACCCAACTAGGTAATATCATCAGTGGTAGAAGGCAGCGGGATTTGCTCTTGGTTGATATACAAGTGACAGCCCAACAGAGTTAGTGGGAGTGGCTCTCACTCCCTTCTAGCACTGATGATGTTATCTAGCTGGGTAATGAAATGTCTGCAAGAAACCCAAACTTGAGAGCACTAAAGACCCTACATTTAACTGTTTACCTTACATGCTCACTACCCCCTCCAGTGTGTGTGTGTGTGTGTGTCTGTCTGTCTGTCTGTCTCTATATCTATATCTATATCTATATCTATATCTATATCTATATCTATATCTATATCTATATCTATATCTATCTATCTATCTATCTATCTATCTATCTATCTATCTATCTATCTATCTATAGGATACGATAAGCAAGGCGAGGTCAGAGTTTAATTTGCAAGGATAAGCTGTTCTATAATGATTCCTTGAGGAGACAATTTCCCAGAAGAGCCGTGTAAAAATAGGCATTGTCATAACATCTCGCTTCTCCTAATATATTTCAACAGGCAGTTTTGAGCTATTCAGTCATTGTCTTCCATTCTTGCATGCAATATCTCCTATATTGTTTCTCCCATATTTTTTTCCCCCAAGCATAAAAACAGAGGGCACAACCTCAAGAGAAGCATCTGAGAGGGCAGATGCCACAGCTTGGCTCCTGATGCTAATTTAAATCAGGAAACTTCAGCCCTGACAAAACCTGCCAATCATGCCTTTGGTTAAAGGGAGGTACTTGGCATTTAATCCCCATTACATAAACCTCCAACAGCGCTCCCTGAGAGGCAGAGAAGAATGATGTGTCATCAACTTCTTGTACCAGGTCTCTGTCTCTCTCTGTCTCTCTCTCTTCCTCCTCCTCCTCCTCCTCCTCCTCCTCCTCCTCCTCCTCCTCCTCCTCCTCCTCCTCCTCCTCCTCCATGGAAACTGAACAAGGAGAAGAATGGAAACTGGATGGATGGAAACTGAATGGATGGAAACTGACCAAGGAGAGATTCAACCTGGAAATAAGGAGAAACTTTCTGACAGTGAGAGCAATCAACCCATGGAACAGAAGTTGCCTTCGGAAGTTGTGGGAGCTTCATAAATGGAGGCTTTGAAGAAGTGACTGGACTGCCATCTGTCAGAAATGGTGTAGGGTCTCCCGCTTGGGTGGGGAGTTGGACTAGATGACCTACAAGGTCCCTTCTAACTGTTAATTTGTAATCTGTAACCCTCCTCCTCTTTTCTCCACTCCCTTCTCTTCCCTTCATCCTATTCTATTCTATTCTGTTCTATTCTATTCTGTTCTGTTCTGTTCTGTTCTGTTCCGTTCCGTTCCATTCCATTCCATTCCATTCCATTCTCCCTTCCCTTCCCTTCATTCTATTCTATTCTATTCTATTCTATTCTATTCTATTCTATTCTATTCTATTCTATTCTATTCTATTCTATTCGGAAGTTGTGGGAGCTTCATAAATGGAGGCTTTGAAGAAGTGACTGGACTGCCATCTGTCAGAAATGTTCTATTCTATTCTGTTCTGTTCTGTTCTGTTCCGTTCCGTTCCATTCCATTCCATTCCATTCCATTCTCCCTTCCCTTCATTCTATTCTATTCTATTCTATTCTATTCTATTCTATTCTATTCTATTCTATTCTATTCTATTCTATTCCATTCCATTCCATTCCATTCCATTCCATTCTCTCTTCCCTTCATCCTATTCTATTCTATTCTGTTCTATTCTATTCTGTTCTGTTCTGTTCTGTTCTGTTCCGTTCCGTTCCATTCCATTCCATTCCATTCCATTCTCCCTTCCCTTCCCTTCATTCTATTCTATTCTATTCTATTCTATTCTATTCTATTCTATTCTAT